ACTAGGCAAAGATGTCTTATGTAAATTTGTCAATAGCTTCTTTATATGTTTGAATCTTGGTTTTTTCCTCTGGAAGTGGAAGTTTGTGGTGTAATTCTGTTGTGTTAAGTTGGTATCATTCCCCAACCTATTTCTCATTTGCAGAAAAAGGCTTGGAAGCAATTGCTTTATGATTTCTTTGTGTTTGTGTGAACACAGATTTTCTCCAAATTTGGGACAGTGCTGAAAATAATCACATTTACCAAGAATAACCAGTTTCAAGCACTTCTGCAATATGCAGACCCCGTGAGTGCCCAGCATGCCAAATTGGTGAGTTCTCTTCTTGTTTCTGTTTCCAGTCTGTAATGTCTTCAAAATATTATACAAGCATATTACAAGAAGCAGTCTATGCAGCAGAACCAAAATAAAACCATTGTGAATAGTACTATCTGGGGTATTTTAGGTGACTTAGAGGAATGTTGTGAATTTTAGAAAATTAGAGATCACGCAAGTTTTATGAATTAGGTCTAAGTTTTAAACATAAGAGTTTTAAATTGTTAATTGGGATGGGAATTTTGAAAGTGCTTAAATCTCAAAAATATAATTACTTTGACCAGGTAAGGAATAGTACATATCCCTTAACATTAACCTTATTCCCCTTTTGCTTTACAAGTACCTTTAGGAAGAAGGAAATCTTGCTAAAACTATATAGCATAGTAGGGAAAGGCATTGGAGAAGCAGAACAAGGAGTGCTACTGATTTCCATCCTCTGAGACATTGCCAGCTCCTGTCTACTCTTTCCAGAGGAATATAGGATTGTTCTAGATTAGATTTTAGGTACAGCAGTGTACATTGCTCAGAGATTTAAATACTTAATATCATGTTCATCTGAATGTAACTTTCAGATTTTTGCAAACAGTTGTATGGACACTCTTAAGACTCCCTCTCTTAAGATTATTTTCTCAGTTTTATACATTGGATGGATGTGGAGTGTACAATTTTTTTCCCCCCTGAAGTAACCTGCTTGGCTTAGATGCACTCTGCTTTGGTTTCCTATAGTCTCTCGATGGGCAGAACATCTACAATGCTTGCTGCACCCTCCGTATTGACTTTTCCAAGCTCACAAGCCTCAATGTAAAATACAACAATGATAAGAGCAGAGACTACACCAGACCAGACCTGCCTTCTGGAGACAACCAACCTTCCCTTGATCAGACTATGGCAGCTGCTTTTGGTAAGGGATTGAGCAAGAGAATTTTAACTGGGAAATCTGGGGGATAATCTTTATTTCTTCTTAGCAATAATTAACTGGCAAATTAGGCAGCCCACTCTTGACTTCATTTTTCCTTCCTCCTAACCATCAGATCAGCCTACTTTATACAGTGTTTGTAAAGACAGACAGCATGACAAACACAAAGTGCTAATGTAACTACAAGCTTCCTGTCCATGTTCTGCTAGCATGTGGCATTATATTATCCCAAACAACTATATATAAATAGTCCACAACTTATGACTGTTCATTTACCAACAGTTCAAAGTTGCAAAGGCCTCAAGAAAAGTAAATTACACCCACTGCAGCCCGCAATGGCCATCACTGCAATTTCTCCCACACACACACACACACACACACAAATGGCCATGTGTTTGGGTGTTTCCCAACTGGCTTGCATTTATAATAGTTGCAGTATCTTACAGTCAAGTGATTGCAATTTGTGACTTTCTCAACCAGCTCCCAACAGCAAAGTTAATTGGGGAAGCCAAATTTGCTTAGTGACCATGATGACCACTGTAAAAAAAGGTCATAAAATTGGGCCCAGTCACACAATAACTCGCTTAATGGCCATTACTTATCAACCAAAATTCCATCCCAGTTGTGGCTGTTGAGTAAAGGACTGCCTATATATTTTTTTTATTTTTAATTTGTTAGTAGGTGAAAATATTAATATCCAAATCCAACATTTAGATAATTCGCTCTCTAAGAACAACAAACAACAAATGAAATAAAATGTTTAGGTTATATTATCATTCATAAATAGACTCCCAGAACAGTTAAGTCGTTCTTATGTCTTCCACCTTCACATACATAAGATCCCTTGATGTAAGAGATATATCAAGTTCTCTTAGAGCCATGTGTTGAGTGATGTTCTAGAGGCAACTGAGGCTCTATTTATTAGGAAAGGAAAGACCTTGGGGAATTTCCTTCATTTCCTGTGAGACAACTGATTATGAAGAGTAAAAAAATCATGTGGCACATTTAAGGTAAAATTACTGTGCTGAAGCCTTTACTGGAAATACTTGGCAGAGTGAACTCTGTTTCACGGTAATTTACTTTGCAGATTTAAAATGCCAGAAGATGTTCTAGCATTCTTTCCTTCTCTCTAAAAAAATAAGAGATTTCTCATTTTCTTTCCTTTACATTATTGTCTCCTGAAGCAAACCTATTTCATCTACCTGTTTATAACAGAGCTTTCCAGGGCATTACCCAAAGAACATCTCGCATTTCCTCTTGTACAAAATACCTGTGAAGAAAAATGTAATTAAGCTTTTTAGTTCACACCAATTGTTATCAGAATACCCAATCCAAAAGAAAACTATGAGCAGTTTGAACAATTAAAACAGTTAAATTAGTTCACTTGGCTCTAAGAAAATTTGTAAATCTTATGCATGATGTGCATTGTGTGTGTGTGTGTGTGTGTGTGTGTGTGTGAGAGAGAGAGAGAGAGAGAGAGAGAGAGAGAGAGAGAGAGAGAGAGAAATACCTTGATTAAAAACATGTGCCCTACTACAGATAACTGGAGCTTCTCATGTCTAATGAACTAACCAATCTTTTCTATTTTGTAGGCGCTCCAGGGATCATTTCAGCCTCTCCTTATGCAGGAGCCGGCTTCCCTCCTGCTTTTGCAATTCCTCAAGCAGGTACTGTTTCTTTAAACATTGCTCACGCTTTTGTTGTACCGTTGCCCTTCTTCCTCCCTCTTATTTTGGACTCCTAAATGCTAGCAGGTGATTGGGAATAGTAATTTGCACCATTTGAGAAAGCTATGGCCACAGGCTCATATAAGGTTCATATATTCTGTGAGGATCTTTGTCATCAAGGAAATTGTACTAACAGTTATGTCCTTAGTTTCGGTAGTGGGTTTTCAATGTGCCCAGAGTCCTCTTAACTCACATGCAGTGGCTTGGATCGTAATGAAAATGTGCATTAAATATCATTAGTTTCAACATTTGCTTGGAACATTTCGTCCTAGTAAGATAAAAACATTCTGGTTGATTTATAGTATGGATGCCATAAAGGCAATAAATTAAAAAGAATTTGTCTAGATAGCTAGGCTGTGGCAACAACTCAGTCTATCTGAAGAAAATGTATTTTATTTTGACGAAATCACATGGGCATGTTGACGTTATAGTTGATAGGGAGAGGCTGAAAAGCCGTAGATTTGAGATTTGGTACTTTATGTAGAAATTCTAATGTCTCAAGTGTAAAATTCCTATTAATAACTTTTGATGGATTTTTTTATTATTAAATTTTGCTGGATATAGTGCTTAAAAGGGAAATGTTTGATAATTCTTGCAAGATATACATATTTTTCCTCCCTTTTGGTCCTATATAAAATAAGGCAGAACTATTCATATTCCCACACAATCATCCCTGTTCTGAGGGACAAAGGAGGTAAATGTCTTTTATGTGCCTTTGATACAATAGAATAAGCTCATGTTTAGATGCTTGTATTAGAATGATGTCATTTGCCAGTGACTGGAATGTATAAAGTTATGGTTTTAGTAGCTGCATGATATAAAAGAATGAGGCACTTCCAGCATGCCTTGGTGAAAAAAAAACGTACAAATGCACTGCTTTGTGTGTCATCTCCCTTCCTGCTTCCCCCTCCCCCCCCCAGTGGTTTTGCTTAAATAAGCCTATGAAATTTTGCAGAACTTGTTTAAAACCAGATGTCTGATTCGCACGTCACCCAAGGAGAGCCAAATGCAGCCCCACAAGGCTATTCCCTCTGTCGGAAGCTGAGAGCAGAGTCCCGAGCAATGCCAGAACTGGAGATGCTTCAGCCCATTAACGTTCAAGCGTATCTGGTTTCTGGGTCCTTGAATGAGAGAAAATGTACACACTAAAGTTACTTCCTTTAAGAAATATGTTGGTCAAAGGTCCTTATTTCCACTGCAAGTCATAGCAGGGAACGTGCTGTGGACTTCTCTACCGGTTAATACTTTTTAATTTTTTCAGGCCTCTCAGTTCCAAATGTACACGGAGCACTTGCTCCTTTGGCTATCCCATCAGCCGCAGCGGCCGCAGCTGCCGCAGGACGGATTGCTATTCCTGGCCTTACCGGGGCAGGGAACTCCGTTCTGTTGGTTAGCAATTTGAACCCAGAGGTTAGTGGAAGCCTTGTAATCTTTTCTATCCAACTTAATCTCATTATTATTATTATTATTTATTTTTTTGCTTCCTTCCAATTTCTGATCTTGCTTCTCTCTGAACTATTTCTTCCCCCAAAAATCTTGTGCTGAAGCTCCAGTGCTGAATTTTTTTCCCCTCTCCCTGAAATGGAGCGTCTAAAATCAAAAGTCCGGCAGCTGACTCAAAAGCGAATAAGGGTTGCGGACTACTATACCTTGCCCTCAGCCATTGTGGCAATTGTATGTCTTAGAAGTTGTCGTCCAGAATAGCTGTAGGCACACTCCTCTGCGTTTGGATATTTGATGGGCTGTGGGTGGAAGGCTTAACGTTGCTCCTTCCTGGATGTGAACCAAAGTGTGTGCTGGCCTGCTCTCATTCCCCAAAGCGAAATTTCCCATCCTACTTTTTACCCTATTGGTTTTGTCTCTACTTGGGTCTTCCTCACCACAGCAAAAATCCTGTAGTCCTCCCCCTGGCATGTTGTAACTTTCGAACCCTGCAGTTGGAGTGACAGTGTTCATTCTGTCCTCTTTATGGGTGCCTTGATCTTTGCCTCCCCTGCCAGCTTAGCTTCATTTTATCTTTTGCCAAGTATTTATTTTCTTTGACATGCATTGATACATTTCCCTTTATCAAAAAAAATCCTTTAAAGTTGTGTGCCTTATTCTGTTCTTTAACTTCTTAAATAATTTTACATTTTCAGTTCTATTTAACTTTCTCCCCTTTTTGATTGAAACATTTGGCTGCCTTAAATGGACCTTGAAGGCATGTTAAACAATCTTCTGCACAAAGGATGTAATTCAATAGATCCACTTGGACGTTGAAGTGGGTTATTGAAGAAGTAGAAATTACATTCAGTTTTGACTCTGCAGTGAGCTTGTTGCTTGAACCCTGGTGCTTAAAACTATGCTTAAAAGTTAAATTTCTGCTTACATTACTTATGTAAGAAGCTCTACTGCAGAGGGATGGATGAAAGAATGATCAGTTTGAAAATTAATAGGAAATTAACCATTTGTAATCCATTTTGCTGTTTTTACCTATCCACTACAACTATTCTTTTCAGGACATGAGGTTTTGCTAGCAATACTCAGCTCATTCCAGGACCTTCTGGAATCACTACAATTCTGACAGCAGAACTCTCCCTTTTCACTAGGGAAAATTTGGCATGGGTGATCATTTATAGAGCAGATCCCCTAGAGGGGACTTGGATAATTGCAGTAGTAAAGGGAGGATGCAGTATAAAATGTTTCAATCTTATTCCCTTATTCTCTTTCCAAGTAAAAATTAAGCATTAGTTTAATGGCTACAGAGTTTCCTAAAGTGAGTGAGCAGTTAGTGAAGTTAAGCAAAGAGCACACAACTGTAGCTTCAGGCACACTATTGTTCAATTCTTTTTCATGTTCAGTAACATAATAGGAGGAAATTCCTAACGAACCTATTATGCTTATTATTATTTAGCTTAAGTTGGGCAGAGGAAGCATATTCTATCCTATATTATCCTAGCAATCAGATATCTGAACATTTTTAATGAAAAATACCTTTTGTAGAGATCAGAAAATGAATTGCCAAATTCTTTTAAGATTGAAAAGGGGTAGTTGAAGCAGCTGCTTCTGAAAATAGAGGGAAAATAAATGTCTGGAGCTGAATTCTAAAGAGCTGAATACTGGATGAGCGTACCAAAAATACAAGTTAATATGAAATTGGTTGGATCTCTTTTTGCATCTTAAATTTATCACTTCTGACCTCAAATCTGCATGAAAAATATTCCGTGGCACTTTTTTAGTTAGTATATCTTTGAGAAACGTTGCAACCAAAATTCTGAGGCTATTTTACTCAGTAGATATGCCTAAGTGAGTATTGCTGAGCAACTGATTTCATGCCTCTTTTATGTGTTTATTTTACTCATTCATCCAGCTCCTCTTTTGGGCTAGAAGCTACGATATCTCTAGTGAAGCTGAACTAACAACTTCAACTTTTTATTTTTCATTGCTTGTGTAATCAGTGTTATAGAAACTTAATCTGTGCATACAGTTGAGAGGCAGTATTCTCCAGAGGGACTCTTACTCACCATCTCCTCCTTCACCAGCATTGGAAACTATAAGAGACAGGAGACTGGCAAACAATTGTGGCTGAGATGTAGACTAGTATGAATTCTCAGACTCTTGTCGGGTTTTGTGTTGATTACTTTTGATTTATAAATGTTGCCTGCAGTCTCAATGTAGAGTGGTACCAAAGTGTGCCAGTCAGTTGATATATGGACATTTGAGGGTATCAAGACTGTATCTCATTTGCAGTGTGCACAATGCTGCTTCACACTTTGGGCTTTTAGGAAGACCACTCAAGGGACCTTTGTGCCATCCATCTACTTTATTGTGTAGGGTGTCTGTTCTTGAGACACTTTCTCAGGTAGAAGAATCTACAAGGAGAAATTGGGCTAGATTTAGTTCGGCAGCAATGTTGCCATAGCTAGAGCTTGACCCCTAAAATAGCTGGTGGGGAAAGAAGAATCCAGCCCTCATCCAGATTAAAGCTGGATTTTCCTTCAGTTTGGTATAAATTTGATGCCAGATTAGTATGAATTGAAAGCCAGATTGTTTTAACTTTTCAGCAGATGGTAACTATCTTGAGAAAAAGCTATAGAACAAGGTCAGTTCCCACCAAATTATGGAGAGAAACATGTGAAGTACAGCTTAAAACTTTTGACATCAAAAAGAACCTTTTCACCTGTTGCTTGAAAACCTCTTCAGGGTTGTTTAAAGGTAGAACTAAATAAATGCTTCTGTTTTAGAAGGCTGATGGGAGGAGTCCTTGGCAGGCTTTTCTTTGGAGCTTTAAATGGGCCTCTGTTTCTTGGCACTGTCACGCCCAGGATGTGAACCTTGCCATCATGCCCTTTAGTCACTCTGTTGCAATACTGCCTCTCCTTCTTAGTTATATCTTACTTAAGTAAAGTGCTCTTCTTTTATTGTTGTGTTCCACTAGGTTAAAAAAAACCCTATTAACTAGTTTTTTTTTTCTGTTGAAAGTGTTGTATGTTTTAGAAATCTATAAATCTTTACTGATGGAACACGACATATTTCTTTTATGTATTTACTGACCTGTTTTTTGCTACTTTTTTTCTTTTCTCTCCACCCCATCCCTCAATATTTTTTTTTCCTCCCCTTCTCCCTGATCCGGAATTTCTTTGCCAACTGACTGCACGGTACTTCTGCTTCCTGTTGTTGCTTGAAACAAATATATATACATATATATAAAAAAAATGCCCCCCTCAAAAAAAAAAAAAAACCTTCCTGCTCTTCGGAAACCAACTTGCCCTTCAATATTAACCATCTTGAAAACTTCATCATCCATCAACCAATTTCGCCATTTCCTGCGGGGACTCTACCTTTCCTTCGTTGTCGACGATTTGCGCAACCTTCACTCTCCCCTCCGATTCCTTACCTCTTCCCTGTCCCTCCGCTGCCTTGCTCTGCTGTTCTCTAAAGAGAGTTACACCCCAATGCCTCTTTATTCTTTTCGGTATGTTATCATTCACACTTTTTTTATTACCTTTTTTCATTTTGAGATTTTACTTTGGGGAAAGCAAGTGTGGTTGAGGGAGGGTCAGCCGTTGGTTGAATTCTTAAGTTACGAAATTTGTGCTGTTTTAGTTTCATTTTATCTGTTGTGCATGGTTTTGATTGCTTTGCATGTCTGTTGGGCAGATCAGAAACAGATAGCATGTGAAATGGTTCACCTCAACTCTGCTGGCAGCAGTTGGCATTTCATTGGGTGCTCCCCAGGATGCTTATAAATACTCCAAAGAATTGCTCCAATTTTCTGTTGCTGATCAGATTTATCCTCAGCAGAATAAAGCAACTTTTAAGTGGAGTGAAAGCAGTGTGGGGTTTGAATGGGTCTTGGATGAATTTGGGATAAGTAACATTTCTTTTTGAATACCTGCTTTTTTTCTTTGCTGACTTCCCTAAGGGGTATATGGTGATGTACAAAGAGTGAAGATTTTGTTCAATAAAAAGGAGAATGCCTTGGTTCAAATGGCAGATGGCAATCAATCTCAACTGGGTAAATACACATTTCTTTATTTTTAATTTTTTTGTGTGGTGAATAAAGTAGATCTATTGTATTTTTTGCTGAAATTCTCATTTTATTGAAAGCAGCTCAGATTATCATGTTTTATAATAAATAGAAGTCTTTGTTTCTCCAACTAAATGTTGTGTTTCCTTAATCAGCATGCTTTCTGCAAGCTATTTCAGAAGTAAAATGCTGTTTTGTTCATACTTTTCCCAGAGAGGATACAATTATACATTTTTTTTTAATGCATTATGCATTTGGTTAGTGGGGTGTTTTTTTTTTTCTTAGTTGACCCAAAAATTCTGAAGTCTGTGTTTTGGCACGCATATGTTTTTTGAGGTTGAAATATGCATCATGCATATTTAAGGAGGTGCAGGTATTTAGGACCAAAGTGAGAAAGTGCTTTGGATCTCGCATTCCCATCCCCTCCGCCCTGTTTGTCAGGTGCATCTGTAAAAAGTCATGCCTTTTCTTTGTCTTGCAAAGTACTTATGGTTCCCAGGGGCAGCAAGGCTTTGACTGAGCTGGGTCCAAAGGGTGTGTCTTACTTTGGACCTACATCCCTGTAACTTCTTAAACATTAGTGATTACATATCAGAGACGAAATGCAGTAACAGCACAGAAACTTAATTTCTATTAAATCTAATGTACTGACATTATCTGACTGGCAACAGTCTTGCATATAAATCATATAAAAGGCACAAAATAATCCTGAAAAGCTTCCCTTTTGAAACTTTTCAGGGCTATTTTGTGCCTTTTATATGATTAAACCTTATGGCAATATATAGCTGTAGCATACATTTTTCCTTCTTAAGAATTGCAGAGCATTATGAAAGCTGTTACCTGTCCAGAAATTAGTTTTGTTAACATATATCAGCATTCCCCAACCTTTCCAGGTTGGTGGCCGGGGAGGGAGAGAGGAAATGGTTTTGTGTGAGGGGCAGGCACGCACGCACACACAGTTTCTTTCATTTGTGTGAGAGCTCACTGCTTGCGCAAGTGGGACTACACATGCACATGCGCTCGCCCATAGCTGGTGCAACCCTGTTGTGGGCTGTGGCCCATAGGTTGGGGGCTCCTGACATACATTTTCAAACCCACATCTTTCAGTTGAGTGGAAATGTAGGAACTGATTCTCTACATTCTTCCATGAGCTAGGAATATCATTCTATTGATTATTCCACCCCAAGAATCAGGTTAACACTGCAAATAATGACATATGAAGAATGTCATCCTTTTAGCCTAGAGCAGTGTACAACATAAGCTATGTTCCATTTGTCCTCTTATCTTGATGGCAGAAAAATAGACTTAGCTCTGAATTTAACAATGAGCCTTATTGCTTATCCATGGGAGAATGCCACTTAGAATTTTTTCATTACCTAAAGCATTTTTATTCTTCTCTTCTTAAACTATAGGCTCTCAGGATGGCTTAATCATTCTTAAGCTTACTGTCTAAATATATATATATAAAAAGATTTTTGAAGAGAAAAAAAGTGTAGCTTGTTCTATTGTCTTGATCTGAGGGGGCAGAAGGACCCCAATTTATATGGTAAAAGCAGCAGAAAAGGAAGATGACATTCCTTATTGCTGTTTTTTTTAATAATTTCTTTCCTTAAGGGGCATTTATAGTGGATGTAATACAAGTAATCCTCAACTTATGACCCTAATTGGGATCAAAATTTCTGTTACTAACTGTGATGATTGTTAAGTGAGTCACATACAATTTTATGACCTTTTTGCCACAGTTGTTAAGTGAATCACTGCAGTTTTTAAGTGAATTGTGCAGTTATTAAGCGAATCTGTCTTCCCCCATTGACTTTGCTTATCAGAAACTGACCGGGAAGGTCACAAACGGCAATCACATCCTCCCAGGACACTGAGCTGACATAAATACATGCTGGTTGCCAAGAGCTGAATGATCATGTGACTAGGGATACTGTGAAAATCATAATCATCATTGTAATTTTGGATGTTCAGTGAATGGTTGTAAGGCAAAGACAACTTGTGTTTTCTCATTAAAGCCATTCCTCAAGTTTTGTATGTATGTATGACTCAGGAACGCTTTGGCATTTGACATGAGAATAGCGCAGCTAAGGGATCTTGGCATTGTAAAATTAAGTGCTGTGCAGTATTGAAGGTGGAACTTTGGCACCTGGTGGTGGAGAGGATTGTACAAGCCCAGTACACAATGGATCTGAGTATGCGCTGGAAGCCAGACTTTTATAGGTTTTTCTCCTTTTTCTTAATTTTCGGCAGCCATGAGCCATCTCAATGGTCAAAAGCTGCATGGGAAGCCCATCCGCATCACTCTGTCAAAGCACCAGACAGTGCAGCTGCCCCGTGAAGGACAGGAAGACCAAGGGCTGACCAAGGATTATGGCAACTCCCCTCTTCATCGCTTTAAGAAGCCGGGTTCCAAGAACTTTCAAAACATCTTTCCCCCTTCTGCCACTCTTCACCTCTCCAATATTCCGTAAGTACTCTCCTTGTTCAATGGGCCACCCATTGTCCACCAATCCGACACGTTCTTTTTATTTTGGGACAGCAGTTCCCATCGCACAGCCTTGAAGTATCAGGATCTTCTCAGGTTGCAAATGGCTCACAGAAATTCCTCACCTCCCTCCCAGCTCCCAATATATTCCAAGCATTCTCTCCCCCACCCCCTTCCCTTCATTTCTTTTCTCAAATTGGGAGTTACGCTAGGAGTCAGCCTTGACAGGCAATCTGTCTTTGTATATTCTAGCTTTGTCCCGTGCTGGTGTGTAGCCTTCACACAGATTATTTGAGGGAAATGAGATTCCTTAATTAAAACAGGCTCTTAAATTTAATTTTGAGCAAATGCAAGAAAGATGCAAGTAGCTCTGCTTTTTTTGTTTTGGGTATCCTTATACTTAAATCCTTATATCCTTAAATTCAGGATGGCTCAGAAATTCATGGCCTCCATGATGCCTGTTTGCTTGTCCCACTTGAAAGGGGCTCAAACCATGACTGAGATTCTATAAGTCATAGAATTGTGATAAGAAGTAAATGATGTTGGAATGATACTTGATATTTGCAGAAATGAAGCAAGGATTCCATGGGGTTTTTTTTGGGGGGGGGGGATGTGAAATCCCAATCTCCATTGTTCAATTTGTGCCCAATTGTTCCTCCTCCTCCAGGCCTTCAATAATAGAAGATGACCTCAAGCTGCTCTTCTCAAGCAATGGTGGGATGGTGAAAGGCTTCAAATTCTTCCAGTAAGTGGTCTTAATTTTCCTGGAAAAGGGAGGAGGGCAATCAGTTGTTTCTTGAATGCTTTTCTGCTTCATGCTTGAGGAATCCTTGTTCCTCTGAAGGTTTCTGTTTGCTACGTGGGAACGTGTAGCTTTCTATAGGCAATATATGGAGCAGGGTTTCTTAAACTGTGCTTTGGCTATATCCTTTGAGTAATTGCTCATTTGTGAGTTGAGGATACAGTTTGGGATTGCTGCCGCCAAAATGTTTGCCAAACAAGTGTCCTCCCTCCCCTTTTTATTTTTTTTGGGTCAGGATAATAATATTTAAGGCTGGGAAAGGGGGTAATTAGGTCAAACAATTCAAGAATGACTGGTTCTATATAAAATAGTACAGGTAGTCCTCAATTTACGACTGTTTGTTCAACATTGGTTCAAAGATAAAATAGCTTTGGAAAAAATGACTTGTGACCTGTACTCACACTTACAGCCATTGTACCTCCCCTATGGTCATGTGATTGCAATTTGGGCACTTGGCAGCTGGCTCACATTTATAACCAGTTGCAGCATCCTGCAGTCACATAATTGCAATTTGCTACAATTTGGCAAATTTTCAGTTTAAAAAAAAACCATTGGGGAAGCAGTACTTAATGACCGCAGTGATTTCCTTAAATGGCCGTTGTAAAAATTGTCATAAAATCAGATCTGACTCGACTTATGACCACAACGAGTTACGATAGAAATTCCAGTCCCAATAATGGTGATAGGTCAGGGTTATCTGTACAGCTGTTGGAATTTGTATCTGGCTTTTAGCCTTTCTCTAAAGTCTTTGAAAATAAGTAAGAGCTTATTTTTTCATAAGAAATTCTCCGTGAAATCACTTAACATCGGAATATAAGGGATTCTGTCCATGATAGTTGGCTGATGGTAGATTAGGGGTAGGCAACCTTGGCTCTTTTATGACTTGTGGACTTCAACTCCCAGAATTCCTGAGCCAGCCATGCTGAGGGGAAGGAGAGAGGTTTCCAAGCTGAGCCATGCTGGCTCAGGAATTCTGGGAGTTGAAGTCCAGGAGTCATAAAAGAGCCAAAGTTGCCTACCCCTGTGCTAGATTCTAGTATTTGGAATGAACTTAATTTTGTCTAGGACACATTTGCTTGTTCCTCTTTCTCTCTGACCGAAGTTGTTTTTGGCAGGAGAGACCGCAAGATGGCTCTCATTCAGATGGGATCCGTGGAAGAAGCCATTCAGTCACTCATCGAGCTCCACAACCACGACCTTGGTGAGAACCACCACTTGCGTGTGTCCTTTTCAAAATCCACAATTTAAGTGCTTTGGAAAAGCATGCAGCAAGACGGACCTGACTGAAAAACAAATCACCACTCTTCTTAATAGGCTCAGCCTTGCATATATATTTTTTTTTCAATGGCTGGACCACCAGCAAGGGGTGGGACGACTTCCATCATTCCAGAAACAAAAAGAAGCCACTTTATAAGAGAGAGAGAGAGAGAGAGAGAATGCAACTGAAGTGACCTTAAAACAGATTTTATTTTTTTAAGGAAGAAAACAGTTTTACTGTTTTTTTTAAAAAAACAAAAAACAAAAACAAACAATGAGTAAATCTTAATTCACATTGCTATAATCTTTCTTGCAGAGAATGAGATAACAATCTTTGACCAGGAAAAAAAATCACAAGCTTAAAACGTTTACATTCTTTGTTGGAAAGCCTCTCTGGGAGTCTTTTACCTTTTCTCCCACACTTAAAACGAAACAGTCCCTCCCCTTCCCCAAAACAGCTTGTCAACGTCACAGTGATGCCTTTATCCATGAGCTCTAGAAGAGACCCCCAAACTGTGCAGTTAGCTTTAGCATCTTTTTTTTTTATATATATATATAATTCCCCAAACACGGTTGCCTTGGGAAGGGGGAAGGGGCGCAGGGAGCAGAAACATTGCCTTTTTCCCTCAGCCTTTCATTGATTATCCTCTGGTGCCTTAGACATTTTCTTTACCTGAGGTAGGAGGAGCAGTAGATACTGGGACAAATTGAAGGTTACTGTCTTCCACAGAGGAGGAGACATGACAGATACCTTTCTCAGTTAAGCAATCTAGTCATTTCTGCCTAAAATGTCTTAATTTGCAGATGTGTTGATTTCCATGCCCACAATGTTTCTCTCCGTGAAGGCTGATTAAAAAAAAAATCCTTCATTAACAGTCTATTGAAGCTCAGATTGATGGGGTGGAGGAAGAGGGAAGTTTCCTTATCCTGCTCGTCAACATTTCCTCGTCTGTAATAAGTTTCATCGGGTTCTGCTTGATACAGGTAGTCCCCGACTTCAGAAACTGAAACCCCAGAACAAACCTGTTCAGAGTATCAAACTCCATGAACTTGAGTTTGAGATTAATATATTTTGGGCTCTTACTTAAAGAGTTAAGATGCCGTTAAACTCCACTCTTAGATTCACCCCTTACAACAAGACCTCTTGTAGTAGTAGCTTCAACTTCTTGTTTTAATCCCCTTTATTATATTTTTTTTTTACATACAATCTGTTTTTGCCTAGCAATACTTTCCAGTTGACCAAATATTCTAATGAATTCATATATAAAAAGGCAATAGTATATTTTCTTTTATAGATAAGATGGTATGAATATATCTGACTTGCTTTTCTATTACCCTTGTATCCTGTACTCTTGTATTTTTGTTTGTAAGATGGAAAACTAGTGCAGGAATTTAGTTTATCAAGGTGATTTCATGGCTGAAAATTAATGTTATACTTTGAACAATATTTAAAGTAGTGACCGTCACTTGTTTTGAAAAAGGAGATCCACATTTAAAGGGTCGTCTTAGTTTAATAACTATGCTTTTATTTAAAGAATATAAACTTAACATCTTTTTCTGAGTAGCACCTAAAATTGCCATCCTTCGTGGCCTCCAACTTTTCCATGCTGATCTACCTTCTTTATATTCCAGTGTTGCCTTACATTGCGTTCCAAGTCATGTAAGATTTTTAAAGATAACCAGAATCTTATACTTAATATCAGGGTTACTTATTCAAAAATTGTGGACCAAAGTTATTTTTTTTTTTCAATGTATGTGATGTTGTCTCTCAAGTCACTGTGTTCCCTGCTGTTTCACATGAGCTGTTGATATGCCTTTGTTATTGATTTTGGGAAAGTCTTAAACTTTTTTTAAAAAAAGAAAATCCTCCCCGATATTATGGGGAACCAATCTATGCTGGAGGAATGTGTGATATTTTGAGCGAGGTTCTGCTTGGATCGCCAGCATATTAATACAAAGTTGAGCTGTTTAACAACTGCCCTCTTTTTTGGCCAAACCCGTACCATTTCAGAAAGTTAAAATAACAGCATCTCTGCTAAACAATTCCCCGATTAGAGTTTCTCATTACAAATATCGACTCACACAATCAGAAGGCGTTAACTTTGGGGTAAAGGGTAGCATGGCAGAACTTGGAAAGGTTATCTAACCGCTTGCACCGGGCAGCTCCATTCCAAACCTCTGCAGTCACAGATAAGAGATAGCCAGAGCAAGTAGTTTGCCACTGAGATGTCTTTATGCGGTGCTGTTGGAGAAAACGATGTCTGTGTAAAAAAGTCTCTTGCCCTGTAATTGAGTGTGTTCTTGGCCAACTTGACCCAATTAAGCCATAGTTTCTAGTGAGTTGTTGGGAACGGACAGTAAAAGCCTCTATTTGCCTTACTTACTTATTCTACAGCAGGGGTAGTCAACCTTGGCTCTTTTATGACTCGTGGACTTCAACTCCCAGAATTCCTGAGCCAGCATAGCTATGCTGGCTCAGGAATTCTGGGATTTGAAGTCCACGAGTCATAAAAGAGCCAAGGTTGACTACCCCTGCTCTACAGTACTGGGCTAGCAGGCAAGATTGGCAGTGGCCATTCTTGGAGGATGGGCAAGAGGCCCTTGGCAGGCAGTGGGAGGAATAGAGTCCTCCCCAGGTGCCTGGCTCTGTTCTAAAGGCCCAGGACCAAGGACGAGGGGCGCTAGAAAAAGGCTTGGGGGGGGGGGTAGAAAATAATTGCCCAGTAGCTGCAAGCTCACAGCAAATACTTGATATTCACCAGAACCAATGTTAAAGTTAAAGGGACACGTGCTAAAGATCCTTTAGGATTTAGGCCTTCACAATCATTCAGCCACCAGTGGCACCCAGAAATAACACTAGATCCTAGCAGAACCTTGGTTAGAATTGTCTGACGTTTCACTTTCTAAGTGTGTTCCCTAAGCCTCTCTTGTCCTCAGAACACAGCCTCCTTGCTGACCTCTTTGATAACTTGAATCCGTCAGTTTAAGGTTTTTCTTTGTGTGTTCAGGGTGTGCTTTTCCAAGGAGCACACAAATCTTATTGCAGTTAATTGGGAAGAGGGGCTTCATCTTTTTTTTTCCCCCTGACCCTGTGTTTTGTTTTGTTTTTTGTTTGCATGTAAATGTAATGAGAAAAAAAAGGTGTAAATATTTATAATTTTTTTATACCTGTTGTAAGACATGAGGGGATGGCAGAACTCGAGTTTTTACAGCAAAACAAATGTATATTTTGATAACCAACTATTAAAGGTTCAGTATTGGGGTTGGGATGGGAGGGCTACCAAACACACCACAAATTTGATTGCCTGGCTTAAAAAAAAATGTAATGCAAAAAAAAAAAAATTGAAATTAAAAGTATTTTATAACAAAACGTAGTACCTTTTTCTGTAGTGTTTAGATTTTTGCTTGTTTGGATTGTAGAAAGCAGTCAATGGCCTATCTGTACTACTTTTTACTTTGGCTTTCAATAAATGTCTTCTGTATTCTTTGCTTCTGTTTTTTTCCTACCTGTGTTATTGTGCTATTTTTGTTTTGGCTTAACACCCCTTCCTCCTATAATGTGACTCTAGCTGCCTCCCATTTTATGCAATCTTCTTTTCTCCCATATTTCTCTTGAACTGGTATGCATTGTATGCATTTAATGGCAGATTTAGCGGTCTGTACTCTTTAACACATAGGTCCTCCTTTGGAGTATGAAAACAAATACCAATAAGATGATTTAAACCAGGGGTAGTCAACCTTGGCTCTTTTATGACTCGTGGACTTCAATTCCCAGAATTCCTGAGCCAGCTTAGCTGGCTCAGGAATTCTGGGAGTTGAAGTCCACAAGTCATAAAAGAGCCAAGGTTGACTACCCCTGATTTAAACTAAGCAAGGAGGAAGCCTCTGTAACAAGCATGGGTTTGGCAACCTGTAGCAAACTATATGTCCCTTCCAATGATGAAGTGTACTGGTAGTCCTCAACTTACAACAACTTGTCACTTAGGAACTCCTGAAAGCTACTTATTGCCCTGTTTCAGTGTTCCAACACAAACAAACACGTCACATGACTGCAATTTGGGTACTTGGCAACCAGCCTGAATTTATGGCTGTTTGCCTCGCCCTGCATCATGTGACTGCAAAATATGGCTTACTGGTGGAAGCTGGTGTTTACCTCCGCTTTCTAGCAAAAACCACCTGATAGCAAACTATGGAATTTGCTTTACAACTGCCACATTCACTTAACAATTGGCAAAAAGGATCATAAAATCAGGTTCTGCCCTGTGGCAACCAATTTTATGGGCATCATAATTTTAACAACTGAAATTGCAGGGTCAGTTACAGTCAATAGTCAAGGGCTGCCTGTATGAGCTCATTTAGACCCAAATCTCCTCACTCTGAATTTTTATACTCTTGATTTATGAAATGACATCATCCTGTTAATGCAACTTTCTCTGGGTATTCCTGGAATTTTGTCTACACATGACTTGGCTTCTGAATATGTGCTGAATCTGACACAAGCCTACTCAGAAGGGGAGGCAGTCTGGGTGTTGGTGGGAAAACAGCATTTCTGGAAGAGTTTTTTTTTGGGGGGGGGGGACAATTCCATTGCATTTTACTGCTGCTGTCTGGTATAAATCTTTCAACCTCCTTATGACTGAGCCTCATTTCTCATTCTAGTCTGAACAGAATAAGTTTAAAATTTAATAATCAGTCCCTTTTAGTTTTGATTTTCTGCTTTACCCTTTGTTAATGGAGAAACTTAATGGAGAAATTAAAAACACAGGGCACTTTATAATATGTCTAATCCTGATGACTTTATGGTGTTGGGGGTTTTGTTGGAAAATAAATGCCACAAGATAAACTTGCTAGAAAATAAATTTTGTTATGCAAAGAAATATCTGTGTAGGAAACCCGTTAGAAAAAAAAGCTTCAGAAGATATTAAGATTTTTGTCTGAAAAGTCTTACTACATTAACAGTCACTGATGCATTTGCAGTTCTACCCATAAAAAGGAAGGCACCTCTGGTCAAAATATGCACATTTTTTAAAAAAAATTGTTCCCAACTCAATACAAAATGGATCCCAAATTCACCATTTGCCAATAATGTGGGCTTGCAGAATTGGGGTCAGCTGAACCTCAGGTAGTATGAGAGAGCAAGTGTAGCTACAGAAAAGGTGTATTACCTGACAATTCTGTTTTTCCCTATC